ACGTGGTGACAACATGAAATCGTTTTGAATTTCAACTCAACTGAACTGCAAGGAGCGCGGGCGTTGGGGAGCCGCATTGAATGTGCACCTGGCAAGCTGTGCCCACATCACGGGTAGTGGTCTTGGCGCGATCTATCCGAAGCGTACGACGCAATTGTCAGGCAAAAAGCTTCAAATCGAACGCAGCGCAATGCGACAATCTATTTCTGTGGAGAGGATGCCTTTCGCTATACCTGTCCTCCTGCCATCTGTGAGATGATGTGAGATGGCTCGGGTTAATGACGGGTTGACCTGGGCTGAAAAGCAGACGTCCAGATGCACCCGGCTGCAGGTGTCGTCTTTCGCATGAATCAGCCGGCCCAAGCCGAATGACGCCTTGATGGCCTGCCTGTTGTGCATAGCTCAGGTCCGCTTAGACTCCACAAATGGAAGCAGAAGCACAGCATTGCGTGGCACACAGACTTGACTTTCATCTGCGGTGTACAAGTGTGAGCTAGTGCGCTGCGTGGTCACCTCCCAGTTACCAGTGCAAACTCCGCACTGGTAGCGGAGCTCTGACCGGCTGCCATGTCGAGCGGAGATACCGGACGTGGGTTCTGGAAGGACGGCGAGATCGTTGTGGACCGCGACGGCGTCCCGCACTACACTGGAGTGCAGCCGGGGTTGATGAGGGAGTACCGCAAGCGTGTCCTGCTTGCATTCCACAACTTGGAGGGCTCTAGGGGTCATAAAGGCCAACAAGGCGTTCGACATGTACTTCAAGAAGTGTTACCCCAAGAAAGGGCAAACGATAGACAGTTATCTGCTTCAGCGCCGCCAGGCATGGGCCGAACTTCAGGACGTGGCAGACAAGGTCGAGATGAGTGACAGTCTGCGGGCCTACTTCCTCCTAGAGAACACGGGCCTGGCCAAGGACGATCGGAGGCAGATTCTGATTGCCAACCAGAGCAGTTATTACATCCACGAACGCGAACGCCATGCAGGAGGCCGAGATCCCCAAGGTGGAGGCAAACGAGGAACCAAGGCTTCTCGGCAAAAAGGTTTCGGCAGGAAGCACTATAAGCCCGCGGCAAGTGAGAGCTCGGACGATGACGAGGCCACCGAGTACAACAAGGAAGGCGACAAGACCAGCAACCACGACCCTTATGCGATGGCGGTCGGAGAGGGCCAGACGCCGGACGAGGGCGACGTGTCGGACGCCCACAGCCCGACAAAGAAGAGCAAAGGGCAGCCCAAAGAAGGGAAGCGAGCCCCGGCGGCAAGGGGAAGGTATTCTTCGTTTCGGACGTCCCGCGTTTCTACGCCCTGCAGGACGAGGAGTCTGGGGATAATATGCCGACGTGGTCCAGGACGCGGGCAAGACAGAGCTGGGCGACAAAAGGAAGAAGAAGAAGAAGCCTAAACGACGACACTCCCCTTCCGAGAGCAGCGCGTGGGAGGTCCTTCGATCGGCGGTGCCCGCTGCCTTGAAGCAGAAGGATAGAGAGCAGGCGGTGATCCGCGTTGACCCCAGGGACATCCACGTCATCAAGATCACTACTTGGAGAACCTTCAGGTCCGAGACTTGCAGGGTGATTGTGACCCCTGGGGCATTGCTGTGAGCGGCGCAAAGAATCAGCTCCTGGAGCACTTGAAGAAGTTCTATGTCGGGGAGTTGGTGCCCAAGACGGGTTGCTTCAAGAAGATGAGCCGCCTAAAGAAAGGATCCCTGATACCACCGTGCAGGAGCCCGCAGGAGCAACCTGCATGCAGCGGCTTCTTTGACTTCCACGGCGACGGCGTCCTCAGCGGCTAGGCCTTTGACACCGGCTTCGTTCACGGCGGCGGCAATGCCCACGACACCAGCCTCGTTCTCCCCAGCGGCAAGTCACGGCGCGGAGCACGGAGGGTCGCGTATTTCGAGGCCTGGGTAAACATCCGACGCCGGCGGCCGGCGGCGCCAGCGGCCAAGAAGAGAGGGCTATGCGAGCAAGAACATCATATGCCCATGCAGTGGCTTGGAGAAGTTCGCTGCGTGGTTTGTGGCTGCACTATGGTGCTGCGGGCCCGCCGCGAGGACTGGCTACTTCTTTGGCTGCCAGAATTTTGCCTATGACAAGCGCTGCAAGTTCACGCTTGGACTTGGCGAGGGCCTGGCTTTGTACCGCCAGGCCGGCGGGCAGCGACAACGACATTGCCGCATGACAAACAGAACTCGAGAGATGAGCCCAATTCAAGAGATGAGACCACGCCGCTTTGCACTGACGAATTCGCTTTCGCTTCGGGCGCTCAGGCTTCGACTCCGGAGGTGGACGAAACTGTTCTGTGTTTGCTGGGCGCAGCGTGCGCCTCCTGCCTTCACAGCCGGGCGGCGGCAGAACTACGAGACTTGGCTTCCAGAAGGCCAGGCTTGCCAGCCAACAACGCAGAGGAAGACCTTTCGTTTCGCCAATGGCGAGTCCACTAAGGAGCGAATCATCGTCTGGAGGATACCCGTTTTCTTCGAGAACATCCCAGGCGAGAGCAGCTGATCGAGCGTCGAGACCGAGGACCTCATCGTCTACTACCCCAGGGCGGAGCTTCGCCTTTGCCATTTTGGGAAAGAAGCACGCGCCCAAATATGTCCTCCCGAGGCGTCAGCAAGCAAGACAAGACCTCGGAGTTGAGCAACCGAAGAGCCAGCGAATTGGCCAGGAGTTGCCGGAACCAAGCCGCCTTGGACCGCAGAACGTGGACAGCTCTGCGGAACAACTACACCGTTGCCGAGCAGTGGGCTACTAAGGATTTCGAGACGACCTTCCTGTTCGAGCCCTTCGCCGGCACCTTCGTCACCACAACCACGGCTACAAAGGAGTTCGGTTGGACGTGCAGAGCCAGCCCATGGACAAGATCGACGGGTATGTTGTCCCAGAAAGCTAGGTCAAGACCTACTCTTTCGGGTTTTGGGCGAGCGCAAACCGTTCTTAGTGCTCCTTGCCTTCGATTGCCGCATCTGGAGCTTGCTCACCAACCTGAGTCCGCTCCGAGACTGGGGTGAACTGCGACGCGGCATTGGCAGGAGGACTTTACGGTTGATAGTCAAGGTTTGCGTGCGCCAACACTGAGCAGGGCGCTACTACTTCCCAACGGGTGTGTTTTCTGTCCGCTGTTTTTATTAAAAAAAAAAAAAGGCAAATTGGTTTCCCACTGATTTTAGAGTCTTTTTTTGGGGGGGCTGTAGAAAATGAAGATTTTTTGGGCAATGTGCAAAATCTTATAGTTTCAGCACGAAAAACATGCCACTTTTTCTGAAATGCGCTTTCGCCGTTTTCCACACGCCTGCTATGGTTTCCTGCAAAAAGTGCATTCTTGATCGTCGGAGAAATTATTGCATTTTTTTGTTGATTTTACGTTCGTCTTTGCAAAATGTAGCTTGTGAGTGAGACTGCATCAAGCATACGATGGTAGCAGTATGACCGTACGATGAGTACAAATGAAGGAAGCGGTTCTTCGGACATGACTGTTGCTCTTCGTGTTATTAGGTTCAGGGTTTAGGTAGGGTTTAGGGTTCAGGGATCTGGGTTGCTGTCGAGGAACTTAATGGAAGTTACTATATTGGGGTAACTGCTGAAAGCTACTTCTCCTGAGCCAGTCTGCAGTCATGTGTTTCATGTACTTGTTGTTTTCTGTTGCGTTTTGGCCCTAGGCGCAGTTATGAGGCCATGAGCGGTTTAAAGAACTCTTGCGTGTCCCAGGCTCTACATGACGTTGTAGCCCTAACTTACCAAGACTGTCTTTCGTTGTCTGCTGTTAAAACAAGCTCCGCTTTGCGCTCTTACTGCCATGGATGAACATCAGGGATTGATCGCCCCTTTTACTTCGTCTTATGGGGC